AGGGTCTTTTCTTTACCCCGTTCAGGTCTCAGAAGCGTCACACCCCCATTGTAAAGTGCATATTTGTACATACATTTGCCTGCTTGAGGAGCGAATTGTGACACGTAGGAAGGAGTCCGCTGGCTGGTCAAACAAAGAAACCTACGTGGATGATCGTTCGCTCTTAGGGCACCAGCTAGAGAGCAGATGCTAGAAACCGGACTGCTCGGCAAACGGACTCTCCGGTTTTAGTCGATCCCATTCAAATAATTATATTTTGATTCCCACTCGTCAACAAGTGTGCAACTCTTCCGCACTAGAGACGTGAGCAGAAGATGAAAAACACAAACGCGCACGCATAGGAGATTCCTCTTACGATGCAAAAAATATCCCTCACCGAGAGCATACACCGTGTCCATTTGCATACTGAATCCTACTCTCCCTCAGGGCGGGACGGAGCAGACGACAGGATGGAGGGGGCAACCCCTGACGTCACGGTAGCCCCCTTACCCCTCTCCACGTAAACAACGGTCTAACCCCCTCCGGCGCCGGCATCCCTTTGGGCGCCATACGGGGGTTATATCTCTCTCATGCTTGTGCCAAATGGGTAACAGCTCCAATAAAGATAGGAGCTTCCACTTTTTAGCTTTCCCATAATTCAGAGTCAGGTGGATTTATTTATTTATTTTTAAAGCGCTTAATGAAATGGATCTCTGCACTCTGCAACCTTCCCTTTTTCATCGGAGCTCGTACATAAAACTCATGAAATCAGCATATAACGCAGGGAATCGGTGAGATTTTCTGTTTTATATGCTGCAGACACAAAATTCGACTGAAGCATCGTCGAAATTTTCTTTCCAAATTTTTTTAAACAAATGGTCGACATACGGAATAGGGAAGATAGATATTAATGACTTACACCTGAACGGCACGATTGGGAGGAAGGAATTGACCGGAGCTTCCTCTCGGAGAAAGAGTAGTATACCGCCTTCCCATATTTCATCATTACTTCCTCGTTTTCGTTCTTGTTTTCCTCCTCTTCCTCTAGGGAGGAAGGTCCCTGGAAAATAATTTCCCTCTTATTGATGCAGGAAACTGAACGCCATGACGTGGAGGTGAATAAGTGCATGAGAACATCCCAAGATGGACATGCAAGTAGAATGTCGAAAAATATAAAATTCTAGAGTGGAGTGTAAATGTGTTTCCTTATTGGCGGAACCAACGAAAATTGTATTACTTCCTACAGAATAAAGCAAGCAAGTTGACAATTGGTGCGAACCGAAATCTAATCGTGAACAACTCACATTTATTGCAACACATTCTGAAATATTGGGCTGACCGACATGTTCTTGATAGTTACTGAATTTGATTTCTTAATCAATTTTATTTCAGCAGAGCAAGATTAATCAGCAAGGAATGCACCATTCATATCTACAACCTGGCTCCATTTATCAGGTAATTGCAACATTCCTTATTCGTAGAAGCGAGTGGGATTAGAACCAAGAAAGTGCTTGATCTCAGGTTGGAGTTCATCTCGGTTGTCGAACCGCTTCTCAATCAAATGAACTCTGAGAGCATAACCTTCCTTTGGTGCAAATCGTATTTTGGATCTGATTCTGGCTGTTCATCGCCATCATACTACTGGCGCTTCTGCGTGTGGTTGATGCACAGCACCCACTTCTCAGCACCAATGATGATGTTCCTCAGCCGGTCGATTGCCGGTTGCGTGAGAGAAGAGAGTAAAAGGTATCAATGCGCCGGTCGATGCTGTCTTGGGTGAGTTCATGGGGAATCAAACATCGAAGTCTCTGCACCTTTCACATTTCGTGGAGTTCGACGGTGGAGCCAAGTCTCTTTGCCATTTCGTAGATGGTTTGGCGCGGATCACTTTCCTGCGCCTGCTCAGCCTGCGCAATTCATCAACATTCAGTTCCATTGGATGTCCAGACTTGGTCGATCTTCAAGCGACGTGTCTCCAGAATGGAACCTGTCGAAGTAAAAGACGCACGTGCACTGCCCTCACCTAACACAGCATAGATGCTGCGAGCCACGCAATGGCGTCGATGTCCTTTTGGAATGTTTGCAACATGCAGTGTCTAACTTGGTGTTTATTATATTCCATTTTCCACTTTAAATTGAAGTCAATCGAGTAGCTCAGACCGTCAATAAAATACTGGACAAACATAACGTATAACAATAAATCGGCACGAGCCAGCACGTTACACACACACATTTAAAGGGTATAAATAAACAAAAAAAAACCTTCTTTAGTCAATCAACCCTGCCGAAATTTTCGCATGCCTAGGGGTCCAAAACGGCTCTCAGGAGCCGCATCTGTGAGCAGGTCGCATTTCCCCGAGTCGCTAATGGCGTAGGCTTCGATGAATTTTCGCACCTCTAACACCTTCAGCCCACAAGAATCGAATCACTGCACTCTGGACTCTTCTTTGGTGCAAGTGGTAAGCAAGCGACCACGTTGACCCCACTAGTGGTGAAACACATCTGAACAGTCAAGGCCAAACATGTCACGACAATATAGGGAGATTCCGTGCTTACGGTTGCGCGCGAATTCAGCAAAAATCGCAAGAAATGTTGAACGCTTTGCGGATACTTCTTGACGTACCTTCTTCGAAGGAGAATACTTCATGGGCATTGCACGACCCATTAGACTATGCTAAAAAGCAATTCCAAACGGAGAATCTAAAGTACGAAATTATACAAATTTAAGGTATAAAACAGGAAAATGAGTAATAACGAGAGTGCCGAGTTCCCCAACACTAGAGTTTAGTCAATAATACGGTAATATATGTAACGAGCCGCCGCCCTTCCAGTCATGTCGGCCAGGGAAAGGGAAATGAGGCATGCGGATTGAGGAGACAGATAGAAATCAGTGTGATAAGCTGAGGGGCAAAGGAGAAGACGTATGAAGGGACATAATCACAGGGATGCCGGATCTGGATCATCCACCCCGCTCTTCCAGAAGTGACCTCCAGTCAGGATCCGGATCACAATATCCTTTGGACATCCTTGTCCAGAAAACCCATGCCGCAACCAAGGGTTTATGAGACAACCTCATTCCCAAAACCATTGGTTGGACAGGTACATGTTCGGAGATACGGACCCAAAAAATAATGAAGATGATTTTGTCCTCGAATGCGTTCCCCGATGAGAACTGTTCCTGGGATTTGGACAACCAATGGGCGAGAGCTACCACCCAAGAATGCCTCCTCCAGGAACCTCCTCTGGATCCTGAAGAAAAAGCAAGAACTTCGTCCGAGAAGTCAGTTCCGAGCTGATCGGGGACTCGGCCTTACCTTTTGATCGTGGTTCCCTTCCTCAAACTTATTCTTTTCCTTTTCATCTCCTCCCCTACCAAAGATTTTAAGCGCCCCTTT